AACGTGCGTCACGTGACCATTAACGTGCGTCACGTGACCATTAACGTACATCACGTGACCATTAACGTACATCACGTGACCATTAACGTACATCACGTGACCATTAACGTACATCACGTGTCTTACTTTTAAAAAAATAGGACAGAGTAATAAAGTTGTCTTTAATAATGAAAGGTTGTGTTTGATACTTAAGATCTTCTATAAATCTTCCTCTATGAACTCAAACAGACACAGTTCATGGAAAGTTTTAGAAGTTTTATTTTTCAGACGTAGTTACAGCTCTGCAGGTCTTTCTCTCTCTCACATATCAAATTTACTTTAAAATCAACACTTACACATAAAGGTTTACTAGATTATCAGTACATAATTGTAGTCAACACTCGCCTCTCACTCGTTTCCTCGTTGTTGTCTGTTCTTACTCGTAGCTCTGCTGGTGACATAGCTATCTGTCCTACTGAATAGCATTTACTGCTAACAGCGACTTCAGACGGCCGCTCCGTAGGGCTGATAACGCCGCTGGTCACTAATCGCTCCAATAACAGCTGCTTCCTCCGTAACAATGCAGACTTTAACTGAACAACAGCTGCTAGTAAAGACAACAAGGTCAGCACCGCCTGTAATCAGTTCTCCATGTTAAATTAACCTGGTAGTCGATAATCAAGGCTGTTGTTTGTGAGCTTCCGGGTAAGGGTCACGTGACAGACGTGTGACGAATCAGGGAAGGACACGTCATGACTGCTAACAACCAATCAAGGGCATCATCGGTTCCAAACTTATCCGGTTTTCGGCCGTCCAAACGAAAACACAACCCCGGAGTTTTCAAACTTATCCGTTTACGGTGCTCTAAAACTCCGGCGTTGTGTGGACGCTCAGTGTAAACGTAGCAAAACATATGAGTTTATAAACAAAAACAGAGTAATGTGGACATGTGGACTCAGTGGAGGTTAATCTAGACTTAAAGTATCTTTAACGCTTTAATCAGTCAAACAATAAACTAACATTACAACAAATAAATGTCTTCATATCTTAATATCAAAAACATATCAGTTAGTTATCAGTTAGTCGTCAGTTAGCCCGTCAGTTAGCCAGACAGCTAGCGCCCGACAGCTAGCCCCCGACAACTAGCCCCCGGCAGCTAGCCCCCGACTGAGACAGACTAACAGGACTCGGTTTACAGAACAGGTCTCAACAAACAGGTTCTTCTGGTCCTTTAATCCTCAACACTGAGCTGTGTTGGCTGATCTGAGTTAGACCACAAAGCTGTACTCTGTACTTAAAGTCTGAGGGGCTCCTCTGTTACATCACCACAGAACTAACGGTAGCTCTATACTGTACTACATCTCAGAGGTACATAGTGTACTTTATACTGTAC